ACATTTAGAGTTTAGAAAAGGTTATTCAAATCTGACCTCCCGTAATTTACTATGTACAAAACTGCAGATTACTTGAAAAGGATACTTTTAGGAAGAATAATTCAAGAAATAAAATTATCTATACAATATCTATAGATGTTATATAGTATATCTATAGAAAGTCTAAATTCCATAACCTCTATAGCTTGTTGTAACGGTTTGACAACAACAGGGGGATTCTTCAGCACTTAAAAGCCCTCCTCCTCTGCCGCTTACGTAAATTTGAGGAATTTCTCTTCCTCAAAATCTATCCAAGTATTGTGCTCACACCATGCAATGATAGACTCACTGCTGGGCTATAACATGATTTGAAAAGTTATTTTATGACTAGAAATCTCAAGCAACTACCTAAATCAGTAAATATGTCTTATTTTATAAATGTAAAAGGTCTTATCCAACCTTTGGCTGACTTTATTCACCAAGAGGCATATGAGTAGGTCCTTCTGTGCAAAGTCATAAATAAATAATTGTTTTGCCAGTTTCCTTCCAGGAAAAAGAGACAAAAAATATGAATCACGTTAATCCTTCAAACAATTGTTGAAACGTTTACACAAGGAGAAAATATAAACAGAATACACCTAACATGGTTCATCCCTGTTGGCACTATGTCAGAAGATTGAGCCACACTGAAAAAGCGTATCTCTTCCATGAGGCCAAATCTCATTTGTACGAAACAGTTAAAAGTGATTTGGTATTGCAGAAAGGGCTGTAGTATGTAGCATATTCCATAATATGCTTAGTTTATAAATCCACCCAGTATATTTATTTGCTTGATGTACGGGCTGGAGTTAATTTGGCCAGCTTGTAAAATGTGTAGACATTAAAACTATTAACAAAACACACCCAAAGATATGTGTGAGACACATTAAACACATACATGGATATTCACTAAAGTAAGAATTAAATTAAGTAAATTTCAAATTTAAGGTCAACATAGAAGAACTGGAAAAAAATCTAAGTTAGTTATACTTTCAGTTTGGTTACTTTGTCCTTAAATTTGAAATTCACTTTGATAAATAATCCTGATAGAGTGCTAGTGTGAATTTAGTAATACTCTTAATCTCCCACAACTGTCCAACCATGGATAAAGCTGATATTACTAAAGCATTATTTCTTCTTTAATGGTATGATGGCCTGGGCCAGGGGTGACTGACAGACCCCAGGTTTTAGCCAAATCCACTCAAAAATGGTTTGACACAAGATAGGAGGATGGAGCCTATTGACTATAAAAATGTGTTACAGTGGTTATGGTGCTAAGAGTGCATCTTTAACCCCTTAAGGACCAAACTTCTGGAATAAAAGGGAATCATGACATGTCACACATGTCATGTGTCCTTAAGAGGTAAAGGGACCTTCTATGTGAACATTTTATAAGCCTTAGTTGATGTAAAATATTGTTTAATGCTAACACAGCATGTGTATTTTTCCTGGAATATGTTCAATTTTTTTGGATTAAATAAAAACTGAGTACAACTTCATATATTGATATGCATTGCTTGCTTCATTACTTAATAAAATACAGTCAGAGTCAATGTAGCCATAATGTGGCTTTATTTGCACAACACATGACATTCATTTGTATTGTAATTGTGTTGTCATTAAGATATGCTGTAATTAACTCTGCAGATAAACTATGGTATTTCCTGCATGTTATACTTAAGTTTGACACTTGCAAATTCTGTAATTTCTAGTAAAGATATTCACATTAATGAACAGAAAACAAACATTACAAGCAATTTTAAATGTATTTGTGTAAAAAACATACATATTAAAATAATCCTATTATTATGCATTGTCTCTATACCGACAGTAGCAATTTAAACAACTTACAGCTTTTGCATGATGTCTTAGACTTAGTATATATTATCTAGTCCATATAGAACTATACCCTTCATGCCATATTGCCCCAAAAGCCAAATACAATTCAAGTAAAGACTTACACAATTAATTTTGGGTAATACATTGTCCATAGCTTTTCTTAATATAGCCCGAGTCGGTTTGACTCCTAAATGATAGTGACTTGGAGAATGGCATTGCAGAGGCATGATCTATACACCAAAACCAATGCATTTTGCTACATTTGTATTGGTCCTTAGGGTGTTCCTTTAGATATACCGTTTATTGTTAGATAAGCTGTGCTTCTGTCCAAAGAGGACTTAAAGATGGCTGCCTGATAATAACAAGGCTAAGCCAGGAGATGCACAGAGGTATTTACTTATATGTTCACGTTACAAAATAATAAGTCTATAGAACATGCAATCTTTTATTTTAATTAAATTAGACTGATAACTTTTCTCTTTTTAACACATGGCATATCAAATATTACAAAACTGCAATTCCCATAATTTTCAAATAAGCAGGGATAAACTAAAACTTAGTAGGACGTCAATGGCTCCTTTCTATATCCCTGGACCTTTGCTTGTCCCTGACTATTCTTTGCCTTTTTCAACTTACTACAGGTGCCACGGAAAGACTGGCTAAGGTCTACTAAAGCAGCACTGTCACTGTCTGGGTACTTTGCATAATTTACAAAGACAACCGATGGTGACACCACCACTGGGGATCCACTGGATGGAGGAGGGGCAAGCAAATGTGAGTTAAATTTACAGCAGTAAGATCCCTTGAGACTGCAGGATCCTCCATAGATACAGCTTATTTCCCTGCAGCCATCACTGATGAAGGTTGGGGGATTGACATCTTTTGACTGCGGAATCTCCACCCAGTGTTAAGAAGTGTCAGGCATTGAAAAAATACTGACAACAAGTGGGCTACTGGAATAAACCATTCTTGGACATGAAATGAGAATGTAGACCTGCTTGACTGCTACTACAATGCTGAGATAATGGGAGGGGCTACATGAAACGTATGTTTGAACTATGGATGAAAAAGTGACCTTCATAGACTATAACACCACATACCACATTGTGACGCAGAAGCTAGTGTCACAACTATATATTAGTATATGTTTGATGATGTTAGTAGCAGGTGATAAAATCAGAAAGTCATAAATGCACTGTAAAATATCATATATTGGTGTATTTCCAATATTTGAAAAAAAGTTGAAAATGTAAATAAAGTAGATCATAGACATGTGGTTTCACATCTGTGGTGGATGAAGGATTTTAAAGAATATGTCCATTCCAGAATATATTTTGAAAAACTATATCATTATAAGGAAACATAATATTTTTAGAATGTGTTCTAATGGCTTTGTAAAGGATATATTATATTTTATATCAAACAAGCGTAACTGGTTTTTATGAGGTATTGTGAAATATATTGATAGAGGATTGAAAGTGCAGTTTTTAAATTTTACAACATCTGTTATATAATATATTAGGTATATAATACAGAATGTATTTTTAAAAAAATACAAATATGTAGAGAAAATGTCAGTATTTGAAAGCTAGCTTATGGAATGCGAAGAGTTGCTGATAACATTTTCAATAGGTGGCAAGTGACTTTAGATTTGTTGTAACAGTGTTAATTGTGGTAAGCACAGTACCCAAGGTGTCTGTGAGTCCCTTTCATTTTTTGGTGATGTATAGTCTGTGCAGAAAATTATTGTTCTTCTGGGGTATTCGGTCAGTTTGGAAACACAATTACAGTTGAAACTTATACTCTCAATGGAGATCACCTAGGAAAAGTAATTTAACAAGAAATATATGGTAATATTTGTATAGAATAGGTTGCCCGGCTTATTTAATAAACTTTGAAGTTTGGCAAATTGAAAACAAAATGTCGATATGTGGGCAAACAGCTGATTAGAGACACTGTCCTACTCATTTATAGCTTGGCTATTTTAGCTTTAATTTTGCAATAGTAATTTCAATTTGTTACTATTTGGTATTTAATATATACCCCTGTTAGCAGTAATGTGTAACATTGATATAATCTTTCAAAGTAGGGTAATAACTGCTTGATCCAAGGATAAATCTGACTGCCATTCTGGGGTCATGAAGGAATTTTTTTTCCTAGCTTGTTGCAAAATTGTGCTTCAAACTGTTTTTTTTGCCTTCTTTTGGATCAACAACAAAAAACAAATGTGAGGTAGGCTGAACTTGATGGACGCAAGTCTCTTTTCAGCTATGCAACTATGTAAGATATTGTCACGTATAAAAGCAGTATTGATTAAGATAGCAAGTACAATTGTGTCTAGGTAACAATGCATGCCAATGGTTTATATTGTTAATCAAAATAGATAGGAATGCACACCAAAAACTGTACATTTACTTGCTGGCTTCTATCCCTGTCTCCATGATCTGCTCTGGGCAAAAATCAATACATTATAATCACAATATACACTCTCAGCCTGTAAGCTTGATAGTTATAGTAACAATCCTTTCTGATTAAACTAATATAAAATACGCCATTGTCAAAGAAATGTAACATATACAAATTATAAGCAAAGCAAATATATTAAAGCAGCAAAGAGTCAAATTATCTGTCATAATTAGAGAAGTGAAACCAGTACAGAAACCCGAGTTTAGCAAATCAACAGCCTTTACTAAGAGTAGATTTTTTATTGTTAAGGCAGAAGATTTTGGCACCTTCTATGGTACAAGTTGTAGACATGGAAAATCACAAAGTACAAAAAATATGAGAGAATGAAGGATAGGAATCCACTACTGTGATGTTAAAGTGACACTTTATAAGAATGGACGCGTCCCCTCAGCTCCGTGCTTAGGAGAGAAATTTTGGCTCATTCACATCCAAATCGCACCTCTTATTGAGGAATTCTTGTACCCCAGCTTTGCTTAACCGGAGATAATTCGTAAATCCAAAAAAGCCCAACCGGATAAACCCAGATTGGAGGGCGATGTTGGGGATCTCTTTCGCCAGGCCAGAGGCACTACTGGGCCTACTGGGGACTCCCACCTGGACTGCTCCGATTCCTCTGAGGAGCGGTCACCGATGCGGAGGATGACGTCAGACCAAAGGCTTTTGCTGCCCCACAGCAGATGCACTCCTCGCTGGTCACTATGGCTGTTCTGAAGGCCCTCCGGGCTGACTTGCAGCATACACTCCAGGCGAATGTGGCAGCACTCCGATCAGTCCTCTCTAACCTCACAGGTCGGCTACAGGCGGTGGAAAAAAAACATGAGCGACTACGCACCACGACTCACGACCCTGAAGACAACATCCCTAGAGGTACAGCGAATCATTGGGACCCTGTAATGGCGAATAGCCGCCCTCAAGAACACACGCCGCAAGAACAACCTCAAGATTAGAGGTATTTCTGAGGAAATTGAAGCTACTGAATTGCCACATATTCTGTGAAGGCTCTTCATGGCCCTACTTAACCCTAAACAGGCCGGGAAGATTCAACTGGAGGGCATTTTCAGGCTCCCAAAGCCGACCAGAGCACCTGCTGCAGTGGCACACAGTGTGTTGGTTCAGTTTGAATTAGGCCATGGTTGCTGCAGCTGTTAGAGAGCAATCTCCTCTCAACTTTGAATCAATGCCACTCTCCTTTTATGCTTAACTCTCATCTGGCACATTGGCTTGGAGAAGATCTCTGCACCATTTCACCACGGTCCTGCAAACGCATAACATCTGCTACATATGGACTCCATCCAGTACACTCTACATGTCCCATGGTGACTTACAACTACCCATCTGAGATCTTACTGCCGCAGAAGCCATAATGGGGACCTTGGACCTGCCTCATGACTCGCTTCAAAGCCCTCTCATAGCTGGGATCCATCCAAGGTCACCCGGTTCATCCCAAGGCAAGCTAACGTTGATCCATTTGCTGCTGCAACGACCTGAGGCCTATATATGAAAGGAAATCCATAGGCTTCACAGCTCGCAAAGTTCTCTCTTTTCTTTCTTCCCTATTATTAACTCACAGCTGACCAAGTCAGCTTTACAGCTTAGATTTATATCACATTCACACTATAACTATCTCCCCTAGTATCCAATTGTTTAAGAATTCCCTTAAAACATATCTGTTCAGAAATGCTTATGGACTCTTAGAGTAACTTATCTATACTTATCTAAATCTGTCTCTTGCTCTCCTAGAGATCCATACTCCACTCTCACCTCCAGCTCTGCTAATTTTCCACCTTGTTTGGTGGCTGTCACGCTTGCTGCCCTATTGTGCATTTGTACCCCATCTCATCTATACTATAAGCTCGTTTGAGCAGGGTCCTCATCTACCTATTGTTCCTGTGTAACTGTGTAATTGTCTCATGTATTGTAAATTTCCCCCTTTCATAATATTGTAAAGCAGTGCGGGATTAGTTGGCACTATGTAAATACTACTACTACTACTACTACTACTAAAAGTAATAATATTAATCATGCATGGTATCACTCTTGGTTCCCATATCCCCCCACCTTATGTTATCTAATTATACTATACCTGATGCGGTAATTACAAGGTGTAGCACATAGTTTTAACGCCTCCCTAAGTTTTTTGTTCCAGGCGCAAAGCCCCCTCCCACATGGACGAGTTGGAGGCTCTGTTCGGAGACATTTCACGTTGCCATTCCATTTCTAAATCCAGAAACACCCAGTTCAATTTTATTATTTATTTAAAAAAAAATATATATATATATATATATATATATATATATATATATATATATATATATATATATATATATATATATATATATATATATATATATATATATATATATATATATATATATATATATATATATATATATATATATATATATATAATTTTTTTTTTTTTTTGTTGATTTATTTTTTTGAGCCCTCATATACCGTTGATATGTTCTGTCATGTCTGCAATCTAGGGATCAAACCTATTGTCTGCTTTGTTTATTGTTATGTTCTTTGATGGTAATCTGTGCGAAAAAAAGAATGTCATGCTTCACTGTCCAATATCACTGTTTAGTAGATATACCCAAAATTAAAACTTTAATATATTTAATTAAGAATTTTCTCATTGGGGTATATTTAAAAACATTTCTTATCTGCAGCCTTTGCAAGCCCTCCCCTTCTAAGCCAGCCCAGACTTTCTGTGGCTGCCCAATCACAGACTTCCCAATGCGGCTTGATGAGAAGTCTTGGCAAGGCAGATTCTCTGCTGCCTCTTGAGTTCAGTGCACACAAACTAAACAAACCAGGAAGTAACAGGACATGTTGCCTGCTTGAAAGCCAGGAGGTGTAACCAGTATAATTTATTAAAGTTCCAATATCTATTAAAATCTGCACTTTTTATAAAATGAAAAAAAAGAGGACACACTATTCTTACATAAAGCTTTTCAGACAACTAAAGTGCTTTAGGGGTCTGGAGTGTCCCTTTAAGTTTTTTTGTTTCTTTCTTATTTTGGATCCAGGAATAACTGCTTCTCTTCTCAGACCAAACTGGAAATTGGTTCATTGTAAGTTCCTTTTTCTTTTATTTGAATTATTACCAGTGAAAGGCATATAACTGGACATTTGAAAGGTTGAATTAGAGAAACATTGTAATTTTGCCTAATAAAGACTGAAGGTTTGATTTTTTTTAACCACTTAGTAAAAGAAACACATTAACCTATTTATTATACCCTTGACAAAGTTCTAATTATTGGCACAAAGTAATAATGTTTTATAAAAGAAAGTAAATCAATAGCTTGTTTTTTACTGCCTGCCTTAAAAACAAAGTTCCGACAGAAGTTAAAACATTTGTATTCAGCCAAAGTCTTCGCTAAACAGTATATTGTTTTTAGTCTATTAACAAGATGAACAAGATGTGGGCTGGCTCTCCCGTCAAGAGATAGCTATAAAAAAAAAAAAAAAAAGGTTGCTGGTTGACCACTGTTTGGTAAGAAAATTATTTTTTTGGTGAGTATGGCATGTTAAAAGAAAAGTAATCCTTTTGCCTAGTCTAAGTCATTGCTTCTAGTGTGAGACCAAGTTTATATGTATTAGTTACTGTCCTGGGCATTGAAACAACTTTGGGTTGGAGTTAGAACATTTTGTTATTTTTCCTAGTGTTACTAGGTTAATATAAAAAAGAAAAACGTTTTTAAATTGTTTAAATGTAGAAAGAAAAAAATATTTTATTTTTGTTTCTGAGAGTGTTCAGTCTAATGTGTGTTGTGCAAGTGTGCAAGCACTATGCAGTCCTTTTTAAAGTCAAATACAATAAAGTTAAAGTAGAAAATCTACCAAGCATCAACTCATTTTGCAACACAAACACCTGTTTTTTTTTTTTTTTTACACAATCATTCATATCCCAAATTTATTAAAGGAGCACTATAGTGCCAGAAAAACAAACTTGTTTTCCTGGCACTATAGGGTCATTAGGCCCTCACCCCCCCCACCCTCAGGGCCCCCCTCCAACTGGGCTGAAGGGATTAAAACCCCTTCAGCCACTTACCTTTCCCCAGCGCCGGGCTCCCTTTGTGCTGGGGAACTCTCCACCCCCTGCCGACGTCAGATGCGAATGTGCACAGTGAGAATCGCGGAAGCGCTTCTAGTGGCTGTCAGTGAGACAGCCACTAGAGGCTGGATTAACCCTCTTGCTTCTCTGAAACTGCTATGTTTTCAGCTGCAGGGTTAAAACTAGAGGGACCTGGCACCCAGACCACTTCATTGAGCTGAAGTGGTCTGGGTACCGATAGTGGCCCTTTAAATAAGAAAAACAAATCTACCATCACAACTGACACATACGAATCCTAAAACATAATTGAGAGAAAGTAGGGGAAGGGGTCCAGTTCCCCAATCCAGTTTGCCGCAGCAATCTTTATCTGACTTATATAACATTCTGCTCCTATGTAAATATTTCAGGTTTTCTCCTAAACAATGTAAGAAAAGAGAATATATATATTATTCTATTTTGCCCCTTACACACACATATATATATATATATATATATATATATATATATATATATATATATATATATATATATATATATATATATATATATATATATATATATATTTGTGTATATATATGGAGTAAGGATCCAGCATAAGCTTAGGATAGTGTAAAGGGAGCAAGTCGGTTGTGGTGTGCCGATACCGACGATACGGTAGGCCTGTAAATAAAGAGGGCCCACCAAGGAGTAAGAAAGTAAAGTAAATGGAAAGAAAAGAGAAAGTGTTGAAATGAGGAGTGGGTGGGAGGGTCATTCTGATGCTGACCTCAAGCGATATGAGTCAGGTAAGGGGTGTCCCTTATATAGGGGAGTGAATTAATTTAAGCCCCTCCCACAAATACAGGCAAAACTGCCTTAATACTTGTGTAAGGGGCAAAATAGCCGTATATGGAGTAAGGATCCAGCATAAGCTTAGGATAGTGTAAAGGGAGCAAGTCGGTTGTGGTGTGCCGATACCGACGATACGGTAGGCCTGTAAATAAAGAGGGCAAAATGAATAATCAAAGATTTAATACAGTCAACAAATATATACAAATTAACCAGACATTTCCTTAAATGCATTACAGTATTTAATTCCTGAAAGGATTTTGAAGGTAGGAATCTAGGACCGAAAGTGGGCACCATTTATTGTGGGTAGGATAGTATGTTATCTCTACTGTTGGTGCATGTTGACTCATTTCGGAATGTGGTAGAGCCAATAGGTAATGATATATGTGTTTACGTACGTGGGATCATTGAAGACAATGATCTGTCTGAGTGGTGGTGATGGTAGTGGATTCTCTGGCCTGAGAAAGGCATAAAAGGCAATGTGCATGGCTGGTAATGGCCAACTTGGTAGTATAATTGAATGGTTGTAGATCTAATAGGTCCGATAAGGATGAACAGTTGGATGGCTATTGGTAATCTCTGAGAGGAACGTGGGGGAATGGATTCCTGAAAACCTCTGAGTATATTCTTTTCTGGTATGATAGCATGAAGTTTATGGTAGTTTTGGCCATAGGTTATCATGTGTTGTTGAATGCCTGTAAAATATATAATTAATGGTGTATGAGATAGGTTAAGTTTAAGGTGGCAAAAATAAGCAAAACTTAGGAGAAATTTTGTGACACAGGTTGAGCTATGTCGTGTTCCAATGAGATTCTTTAAGCCAGGTGAAAAGCTGTGTTATGCGTTCTACAAGTATGGGACGAAAGTGCTAGGTGGGATAGTGCATGCTATGCTGCATGAGTATGTCTAATCCATGATTTTGTCTCTGGAACGAAAGAGTGGACGTGACTGTATGGGCGGCTGTAGGAAGCGTATGATGAACATGCCTGGAATATAAATGAGACAGTTGTCGGCAGGGATGTATACCCCCGTCTGGTACATGAAAGTGAAATGTGATAA